CGCAAGAGGGTATAAAGGTTTGAGCGTCTCTAAAATTCTGATTTTAGATCCAACAACATCAACATTCACCTGAATCTAGGAATACAATATAAACACTCAGACTCACCACAGGATCACTGCTGGATGTGGAAACCCCCAGAGCTGCTTGTGTCCCGAAGTTATCCAGATACAAATTTATAATGATCTGTAACGAGCAAACAGAAAAGTTTCAGGCATTGCCGGGAAGAAGAAGGAAAATCAGAGACACAACGAGTCAAACATCAACATCTTTTGTGCTTTGAGTCATTTACAGCTGAACTGTTGGTGTCAGGAAGCTGCATCAGGTAATGTCCACATTCTCAGCATCACTGCAGAGGACATTAATGAGACTCTGCGCTTAAAGCCAGCTGCCCTCTGAGGGCCTGAACCCGTGAACAGAGAGTGTGTGACCTTCATTAACTGCTGATGTTCACTCAGTCGGCAAACATGATCTCTGCCACAGGTTGAGACTAAACAGCAGCAGTGATGGAAACACAAAGATCTCCTAAAACATCAGGCTTCATCCTACTCACATAGAGCTGCTCGTACTTCTGTCCATAATATGTGATGGGACATGACCTGATGTTCAACACTGAAGACTCAGTGAATGTCTGCTCATAGGACGACTGAGCACCTGAAGACACAGAGACACATGAGAGCTGTGAGCTACAGTCTGTTAGCTGGTCGGACAAACAGGGAGAGCTGCAGGCTGAAAAACTGACTTCATGAATGGATTAAACAGCGTTTGTTCAATAATCAATTACATTATCATTTATGATTTAAAGTGTTGCTACATGCTGGATATTCTCCTGCAGGGAAAGGTCAGTTCGTGCTCAGCTGGGATGTTCTCAGATGGGAGAACATCATGGCTGCAGATCCATGTGTCTTATCCTCTGAAATGAATATATGCCACATACTCAGTTTAAATAATAAATTAAGCTTAATAGGCTTTTGCATAGTTTCTGTAATTGGTAAATCTATGTTTTCAGTAGAGAGGTGATGGGAATCCATTTGGACCTTTATGGTTTGCAATTTCTCCAGTGATTCATTTCATTTTGATTTTCTTTATACTTTGACTTATTGGTTATCTGTTGGTAGTAAAATGATATTGTAAACTTTATATAAAGGAAAGGAAAATCAAATTTAATCCCACATATTCTTCCTTCAGCACTGCTAAAGGGGAGCTAAAGCCACAGAGGTCCTTCAGTACATATGGTCTTGTATAATAAAACAGTGCCCAAATTTCATAATCTATAATGCATTGCTGAACCTTGTTACTAGTATTTGTTCAGACAGTCCAAGCATTTTACATGGAATAATGTCTCCATTGCTGCTCCCCTGTTGACTTTTCCTAGTGCTACTTCCTGGAGCAAAATCATTACATGTCTGTATTGGCATTTTTATTTCAATATATTCCAACTTTCAAAGTGAAAATAAACTTTATTGTCATCACTGCTATAAACAATACAGTATATAGAGAGACGACGAGGCTCCAGTTGTCATGTTTCGGCTGTGTCCAGGCAGGAGAAGGACCCAAACGCAAAACTCATCACACCGGAATTAAACTTAAAAAGCTGCTTTATTGCAGAATAGCACAAAAAATATAACTAAACTAAACTGGGGCATGGATAACCTGACACACAGGGAAACACAGCCATGAGGGAGACTATGACACTGACAAAGAGAAACACAGGGCTTAAATACACAGAGGGATAATGAGGGAATGAGACACAGAAGGAGAGCACAGCTGGGAGTAATCAGCCTGAACGAGACAAGGGAAGCAAAACTAGAAACACTCACATGAGACGTGGACCTTCAAAGTAAAATAGGAAACACACTGACTGAACTAGAAACATGTAAACTTAACAGCAACTGAGACAGAACATCGGGAGCTGAAACATGGGACAGAAAGGCAAAGTAGACACAACATGAACATATCGACGCCCACAAGGAAAGAGCAAAACAGAGCACCGAAACACAGGACCTCTTTCAAAGTAAAATAGGAAACAATGAAACACTGACATGACTACATGAACTTGACAACATAAGAAACAGACATGAAACACATGAAGGATAAAGCAGACTTAACACAAGGGTAGAAAACACAAGGGGAATATAATAAGCAAATGAACATAGAAATCTAATGAGCTTAAACATAAACTATAAACATCAAAATGAACTAAAACTCAAAATGCTGGGTCATAAGACCCAGGATTGTAACACCAGTTCCATCCGGTCCAAAAGTCAACAGTAAATTTAAGAAGAGTAAGAAATAAATATACACTTTAAAATTAAGGTAAAGGGATCAATACCAATCTAGATTTACAGTTCAATGATTTAAAGTGACCTTGAATCTCCCAGGCCTCATGTGAACAACTGTGTTTATATATTAGACATACCAGTGTATTCAGATGATTCTTATTGCAAAAGCTGTTCAGGTTTGAAGTCAGTTATGACAGTGCTGGAATTCCCAATCTTGTAACATGCGATTATGTTTATTGGTAAAAATGTCCCTTTAGGGTATGCCATTACTTTCACAACAAATGACTACAGAATCAGAACTTTATGAAATATGTGATAAAAAAAAGAGAATTCTTTGATGTGGATACAAAACAAGCTTTTATCAAATGAGAGAACGTGTAACTCCATACAGCCTTTAAAGCTTCCTTCATTACTCCTCATCACTTTGTTCTTCTCTGGTTTTACTGTTGCTACTCAGGTACTGTGAGGAAACATTCAAAATGACCGCTGGGTGTGTGTGCTTACCTGCCAGTGCAGTAAGAGCAGACAGGAAGAGCAGGGGGCGGAGCATCTTGTAGGGAGCCAGTCAGCCGACAGGGAACTGAAAGACACACAGGTAGATATGTCTGATTGGACAGAAAGTCTCTGCCACATGTGCTTGCTCTACTTTGCCATCATTTATGGCATTTATGTGGCACAGTGTATTTATCCAAATGAAAAAAATAACACAACACCAGACTCAGTGTTTGAACTAAAAACGTATAATGAGTCTGTCTCCATTACCAGTCTGTAAAACGTGATTCCTCGCACTGATATTTCACAGATTTCTCTAGACTGGAACAGTAAACAATTAGCAAGAAAACTTTTAAAATGTATTAATAAAATCTATAAGTTTGAAGCCTACCTCACCTATAAAATAAGCATTTATCATAATCTTGTTTGTAATAAAGTCACTTTGTTTTTTTAATATACGGCATTTTAAATACCAGACACTATTTCCTTTCTGGCATGTAGAGTTTGTGTTTGCCGTGCTGTGTGTGTCTGTGAAAAACACACCTGTGCTGTGGGTGAAGAGTCACTTCTCGATTCTACATAAGATAATAAAAAAAAAAAAATCAGTTACAGCAGTTTTAACGAGTCATGTAGTGGAAATTTTTAGAGCAAACATTTCTTTTTTGTCTTTGGAGTTGACAAAATTTAAGGACTGCTTCAGTCAAGCCAGTCAAGCCCTGGTTAATTGCACCACCTGCTTAAAAAGATAGCAAAGAGTTAGTCGGGGTTCTGGGACTTCACAACTCACAGTACTGCGAGTCTTGCTAGTGCACCGTCATTTTTCTGCTTTAGTGCCTTAATTTCTATTTCTGCTCCTAGTGTTTCTGGTT